CAGGAGGGTTGGACTAGATGACCCCCAGAGGTCCCTTCCAACCCCTACTATTCTGTGATTCTGTGATTCTGTGATAAGATCCCCTGAGCCAGAAGGCTCTCCAAGCTGAGAAGTCCCGGCTTTCTTGGTCTCTTCTTGCATGTCAGGTGCTGCAGTCCCTAAATAGTCTTTGTGGCCGTTCACTGGACTTACTGCAGTATGCTCATGTCATCCTTATCTGGGGAGCCCAGAACTGGACACAGCACCCAGTTGTCTCACCAGTGCTGAGTAGAGGGTAAGGATCACCTCCCTTTACCTTCTGGTGGTGCTCTTCCTAATGCATCCCAGGATGCTGTGGCCCTTCTTTGCTGCAGGGGCACATTGCTGCCTCATGGTCAGCCTGTCCATCAGGACTCCCAACCCGCTCTGCAAAGCTGCTTCCAATCAGTTGGCTGATCGATGTCCATTATTCACAATCAAAGTGGAACATGAGCCAAGGGAAGTCCAACAGAAAACTCTTCTTGCCCCAATTCTGTGATATTTGTGTGAACAGCTTGTGTGCTTGAATAAGAACCTTAGTGGATGATGTAGAGCTGAAAGAGGTAGCAAACACAATAGACAATATATTAAATTACATTGAAATCACTGGTAAACTCAAAATGTGTCTTGGGAAGGAATAATTGATTGCACAAAGAATGGGAAGTAAAGACATCAATACTGTCTCAGGCACCTTTGGAGGTACAATGGACTACAAAAGGAATGAAGAGTCAACAATCTGAAATGCTAGAGTTCATGTTGGGCTTGTCAGACTCATGGGCATGTTGTATGTAAACCATCAAAGGTGTTACTGTACTGTGCACTGGTCAGGCTGCAGGTGGGACTCCTTGGGCGCCATGTTGTAAGGAAGTGAGTAATGAGAGGTGATTAAATAGGACCTATGAGGAAATGGGTTTGCTTAGTTTAGCGAGGGGAAGGCTAAGAGTGGCTACGAGCCCTTAGAATTTCATAAAGACTATGCATCAGACAATAAGGATAAAATATTTTTGTATGTCTGGTGGACTGAGATAAATAAGGTTTAGCTTAATTTAAAGGAGCAATGACTTGGGTTAGATTTTCAGAAAAGGCTCTCTGTGAGGCTTTACAAGTGCTGAATTGGGCGTCTGAAAGGAGACTGTGGGAAGCTGCGGAGCTGGCTCAGGCAGTGGCTGGTAAAGAAGCAGGAGGGGAATCGCCCTGGGTGCGCTGGTCCTGCCTCAGGGTAGGGGCTGGGGTGAGCAGCCTCCTGCCAGCTCCAAAATCCCTTTGTGGTGAGCCCACGGTGACAACACATGTGCGAGTGAAGGCTTGGATAACTTGATATTTTTGGAGCCAACCGGTTTTATTGGATCTGTACTTGGGCTTTGTGTTCATGGTGTGACTTTTCCTGCTACTGTAGTGCACTGTAATCTTGCTGCTGCATCTTTGGCCTTATCTTGAGTTGGAAAAATAATACTCTTAAGTGGGCTAATTTACACACTGCTTTCCTCTCTTGGACAAATTTGATGAAGTCCACTATTAAAAGATGTTTGTCTGGTCTGGAAGCCTTCATGGAGTTTGGTTGAGATCCCTTTTCAGTTTTCTGGCATCAGTTTTTGAAGCGTGAATGCATTGCCCAAAGAAGTACTAACCCCATACACAGCAGTGATACCAGCTCTCAGTTTGTACTTACCACTTACGCAGCCAAGGGTTCTGTTTGTTTCAGCTCTAGACATACAGAGCGAAATCTTATCCTTGTCTTCCATGCTGCATTCCTTACTGTAGATTTTGTGAATAGTGTTTCCAGGTGGATTGATCTTGCATCAACTCAGGTTAAGTACAGAGTTTGCTTCTCTTGGTTGCAGTGGTTTTGTAATCAGGAAGGTATCATCTATAATTTCTAGACCTGTAAAATGGGTTACCGGTAGCAGCCTGAGACCACCAGAATGTGTTTTCAGAAACAAAATCTCTTTGTAACAGTTTGGGTTTTTTGGTTTTTATTCTTTTCTTCTGGTCATGTGTTCAGGTTTTTGCTCATACTTATTTTCTTGTCTGATTTCATGTTCTGTTAAATGGATGTTTGTTGATGTATCTCTTAGGCTGTTGATTTATCAGCCTTCCAGGTCCTGTTCTGCCGCAGTACTGGTAATTCTAAAGCGAGTGGTGGTAGCTTTTGGTCCAATGTACCATTACCTCCCTTCTTTGGGCAGTGCCAGAGTGCTCATGATTTCAAAATAGAAATGAAATGCAAAGCGTGTTTTTAACCAGGGCAGCTAGATCACTAACTTGGAGCGACAGCTGTGTCTGGAAGGCAATTTTTTTCTTTGTTTTGCAGGCAATGCCACTGCAGTTAAGCAGTCCCGGTATCGGATTATCGTTCAGGATGCTGCCAGTGGGGGACAGGCATGCCCGGACACCTTGTATGAGGAAAGAGAATGTGAAGATATTCCCATCTGTCCGGTGTATAGGTAAAAAGTGTTAGCTTGCATTCAGTCTCTTGCTAGTGGGTGTCTGCTTCTCTAGAAATGACTCTCGTGTGGTTGTCCTGCACAATTTTCACCAGAAAACAACAGAATACTGGAAGATGCGGAGTTACAAACAAATGATGTACCTTGCAAAATGTGTAAAAGTAGAGTTCAAACTGGGAGGTTTCAGTGGATCTGGCGTCATCCAGGCAAGCACCAATAGACACGGCTCCTAGCAATGGTAACCTCGGGGTTCGATGTGTTTAAGGAAGCTATTACTGGGAACTCCCTGGTCAGTGTATCTAAAAATCAGTGTAAGCTATTTTGGGACCACAAACACTCCACTGCCTTAATCATAATTGTATGCTTATTGCAGAAACTCTTGTCTTTTCCCCTGATGCTCTCACTCCAGCGAATAGTACGCACTTTAAAAAATTCTGATTAGACAAATAGTACAATAGGGCAATTACTCACCGCTCT